TATTCATAAAGAGAGGACGCTCGAAACAGCGTTAATTCACCGAGGATTAATAATAGAAATTATAATAGTAAAACATTTCTTATTTAATAACTATAATTGGGACTATGAACAATCCCGTTCGATCTCTATTAGAGCTGGAACCACATCGACAGTACACAAAGAAATACATTGATCAATTTCTACTTATGTATACTTTGTTTGTGATATTACTTCGTTAGCGGTGCATCGACGACTCGTCGATAACACGTCTGACAGTCTGACACAGTAATGCAGTTTAAAATCGACGTCAGTTTTGCTGCGTGTTTCTTACTTTTCGGCCCAGCTTATTCTAGAGGTCATCAAAAATTGCAGACCGGTTTTGGGGCCGCGAGGTCCCATAAGGCTGCCACTCTTTAGTAACCTCTCCTCGGTGGTCATATTTACGAGACATTACTGTATTTCCTACTGTAGGATTGTTTTCCGTACCTTCAGTAGTTTATTAATCTTCCTGTTCTATATTCGTTCATTTTTGTGCTAACTTCCATCGGCAACTTTCCACTCCGGCTTTATCGATGTGCGTCTACGACATTTAGCTGTGAAGGTACTACAGGAAGCACGGCAGTAAGTAAAATAGGAATTCATCCTTTTTCTGTTTCATCAACGAGACTATCGATCCTTCCTTTCGTAATTTAGTACCTCGTACGTACACACAACATTTAGTGCTTGTCCAAAATTAATTACGGAACAGAAAATTTGAGAACTTTCCACTAACATTTTAAAAACTGTCTAACGAACAGCAGGGAACTTTGCATTTTAATTAAAATAATATTGTAAATTTTCGGCATTTCATTTGGGTATCCGAAACTGAATTGACGAAACATTCACTAATGAAAAATTTGCGGAAATGTAATGTTAGTGGAGTGCTCGTGTTAAATTTTAACGCTGGCTTTCCCGTAGTTGTTTTCCCAATTTATCGAGTCTAATGATCGAATAGATTCAATTATATAAAAGCGTATCCACGAATTTCTCACGGAATCTGACAAAATAAAACAGACTGTTCTTTTCCAAAGTTAAACTGAAACAAAAAATAATCAATACTGTTGAAACTAGTCGATAAAAGTTGTAACATATAATCGTAAATTTCATAATTATTTAGCTTCAGAACTGGAGGCGCCTGATTTTCAATATTTATACTCGATTTCGTTGTCAATCGGTGTGGCTTTTCCACCCCTCCGTTCCACGTCACCGGCACGAACTGTCAGACACAAGTGCGTGCTTCACACGTCAATTTGTTTGGCGGCGTGTAAATAAAAATGCTGCACGACGATGACGACGTGCTTCAACTTACACGATTGTCACAACAGCGATGTCGATCGATGGTCGTTGAAATTAGTCCACGAGTTTCGCTTCCACGATATTTCGATGTTCCTTGCAACCCCTATATTTAGATAAGTATAAGTTCCGTGTGTGAATAATTCAGCGACGATCGATTTTACGAAGTCAGCCAGTCTCGTTAAAATATTATGAGACAGTGGGATTTTCGTACTTTCGTGCTTTGACAGCCTTGACTGCAATTCGAAATGTCCCTGTCTGTCTACGTGTAAATACATATAATAATGAAATCATTACTTCTGCTTTAAATATCGTCTTTTATTTTTCTGGCATTAGATTTAATCTTAATCTATGTGTGGACAGTGTGAAAAACTATAGATAGTGGTATTCTAATTAAGACAAACTCTGCGACAGGTTATCGAGAAAGTTGCAAAGCCAGTTCTACTATGTTCCATAATTACTAAAAGCCTTGGACGTTTCAGCTACTTTGCAGCTCAATTCTAAACGTCGTCTTAATGGTTCGAAGGAAACACATTTTTTACTCATACAAATTCGAACATAATTTTCATGTAATGATGTCGGAAATCACGGTATCGGTGGCACGCGTTCAGGATAAAGAGGCGTTGGGATAAAAACGTCATGTAGCGTCGGCTCCCCATCGGGCGAGGATAAGTATGGGCGTGCATGAAACATACGTGCTCTATATCGAAGGGCGTGCACGCGCAATTCGGAAGCTATTATAGGCAAGGCACGCGGTTCCATCTCGACACGTGTCTTTACGCGAACGCCGTCTCGTTCGGTATCCCATTTAATTCAGATGCCAGCCCGTTTCCACGAGTCGTTTTACCTCGATGGCATACTATAGTAAACGCGATGCTCAATACTATTTAAATATTCGATCCTCACTTTGTTATCTACGATCAGTGTGTTGGGTTCATTGAGATGTTTTTATCCAAGATTATTCTATATTATGAATCAACATTTCTAATAAGAATTCGTGAAGGATTGGCTGATACAATTGTACTTTCGAAGTGCGAAATCTACATTTGAAAAAAAAAGCGTTCATCCTAAAGCGTGTTGCATCCAGTATGTCGCAGTAATCGATAGTTACCCCAAAGAATCGTGTGACCCCTGGAAGGAAAACCATTCGTCACCACTAACGCGAAATTATTACCTATCATAGCGGCTGGTAACAACTCGAGAAAAAAAAAGGGAAAAAGGATAGGAGGAGGAGGAGTGATCGAGAGAAAAAAAATCGTGTTCCAGCGCGCGTTAGCAATGGGCTGGTAAGTTAACCCCAGGATAACTGGTGGAGGACACGAACACGAGAGGAAGGAACGTGTGCCCCCCTGTAGGGGTTGCGCCGTCGGGGGTGTTCGTTATATTCCGAGGTCCTTTTGAAAGGGTCGCGTGGCCGCGGCATGGCCCCCCTTTTCGTAGACCGATATCGTATTTGTACAACACGCATCCATTATTGCAATCCGGCTGTTTGTGTGTTTTGCGCTCTCTTTGTGCGCGGCGCGCGACGATCCTCCGCCGCTACGCCTTCGTTTTCTTTCGACGGGGCGGCGCGGCGCCCTCCTCGGGTTTTCGCACACTCGGCTTTCGCTTTCTGTGCGTCGAGTGAAACGCGGACCTATTATTGTATCCCTGAAACAATGAGTACTCACGATCGGCGGACCACTCGACGTGAGAGAGAAAGAAACCTGGGCTTCTTTTTTCGTTTCATTGGATCACGTGGGAAAACATCGTTTCACTGATTTACACATCTCTCGTTTCTGTATAAAGTGTCTGCGGAAGAGATATACTGTAAAAGAAGTCAATAGTTCGAGTATCACTTTCGTATGTACTACTGCTCGGTCGAGTCGAATCGTCCTTTCGACTAAATCTACTGAAAACCCTGTCATCACTGCAGCTTCAATTAACTCGAATCGTAGACCGCAGCGATCGAACGTAATCGAGA